GTCCCCTGAATTTTAAGACGGTTGGAGGATGATCACCTGGTCCCACGGCTTTAATTAACTTCAGCAGGGCGATCTCGCGTTCGACGTCTGAGCTTGATGGTGGATCCAAAGCGGCAGCCTAGGGAGCGGGGCGATCAGTGGCAGGCGAGAAATATAACAATTCCCACCGATTAACTTGCCTTTCATAGTGCTCAGCCCAACGTTCCAAGCGTTTTGGCAATTTGTGGATAGGTTGTCCACTCTCGTCACGTATAGTTTCACTAACACCAGGTATCCTACTGCCCGTTTCCCCTATCAGCCGGAATAACACGATGGTTACCAAGGGTAGGGCCATTTCCATATATACTGCACCATGAGACCACCAGACTTCGTGGGCTCTCTTCAGGCTAGCACGGAGTTTTGTCCAGAGCTCTTTGCGGGCTTCATTGTGTTCGCTTCCAGCCGGAATATGCCGGCGAACATCGCTAAATTCCAGAGACTGTGCAGAGACCCAATGTCCGTGTTGGCGATTAGACAAACCACATGAAGATTTGCCTGCTGATAGTAAACACTGGTGAGTATGACGCCAGTGAGCTTCAGTTGATTTAAGTGAGCGGTTACTCAACTCGCATGACAGCGTAATTTGATAGGCATTCAAAACAGCTGGCTTCGCCAGTTGGCTGGTGTCAATGCGGTCACAACGTTGTCTTGGGCGTCTGTCAAACGCACTCGGAGTTCAACACGTAAAAGTGAATGGCCGGTGCCCACACCTGCGCTCCAATTCGAGCGACAGTTGTGGATGCAGCCTCTCCATCGGTAACTTATCGCAATGGGATGGATTTGCGTCCATAATTGATTCAAGACTGGTGGACGCCAAGTCACAATCCGGCGGGTGCTGTGTCGGAAATTAGTGCTCGCAAGAAATAAGCGGGCATCTTAACCCAAATGAAGTAACCGCTCACCGTTATCACTAAGGGAGCCTACGTCATGTTGGCCGCCCAGATGCAGTTCATCAGTGGATAATTTTTTAACTTGTGTGTTCAGCTCTCAGCCAGCACAAGGGTGTACGAACTTCTTCTGTGGTGAAGGAGCTCGTTGGCGATAGGTCGTCTTTTACCGAGTCATCGCTAGAGTTTGTGGGTACATAGGCAGCGAGGACGAATAGACACTTGTTAGTCCCGCGCGAATTCAACGCTTTAGACGAGCCAGCCAATCGGACCGCACACCTCCGGCTACTGATTGGAATCCAGTATACCAGAGCAGCTTCGGCGCGTGGGCTCAGGGCAATCCTAACACCGGCTTAGCCGTTGCTTGAAGCTGCATCGTCACCGGATAGGCGCAGTGAGGAAGTGCTGTTGGTGTTACCTGAAGGCATCGCAAAGTGAGCACAGAGTTCGAGTTTTGAAGACGGGTCTCCGATAAGCAGCGTATATGGATCGAAAGGGTTTCTAATGTTCGTACAAGTGCTGCCTTTTGACCGATCTGTAGCAATGTGCGTACATTGGGGCATGCTAATCTGAAGGATGATCGAGGGCTCCAAATGGAAATAGATGAACTGGGCTTGGCCGCTTGGTTGGACATGGGCTTGTCGACAGGATAGGAATGACGCTCCGCGGTGGTATGTGCGTTGCAACTAGAAGGTAAAAGCTTATCAAAGGAAGGTGGAGGAGGGCCAAGAATTTGGGGGCTGAAAACAGGGGGGATAAAATTGAAGCTGGAACGGGACGGTAAGAGATAAAATGCGTAAGAGGGGGAATAAGAAGAGGAGTAGGTTTGGCAGTAACATCCGAACAGCTATCCACCCTGCTCGATGTAGCAGATAGAGCACCGTTAATTATCGTTTGCGGTGGTCACAGCATCACGAAACTGTTTGAAGAGAAATTCTTTGTATTGCGTGGGCAGGATACTGTCAGGTTGCCCAGGAGAACTATTAGGATTCTCAACCAAAGCCTTTGGTTCAAATACCTGTCCGCAAGGCAGCGGGTTTGGCGTTGGGCTAGAATGAGTCTGTTTTAAAGAATAAGGAGTCACCTCATTCCAACCCCCAATTTGGAGGACCAGGAGGCTGAGATTGTCTGACCACTTACCATTGACCAATCTGGTATGCGTGGCTCTGAAGGTGCGAAAAAAGCACCACCCAGCATAGATCAATGGATCGTTGAGGCACACAAGCCATCGCACTACTGTAAGGTCCAGCCTCATTGCGATACAGTCACTGGAAATGTGAGAGGTCGGTGAACCTGTTGGAGTCCATAAGGAATCGTTATGCTGGCTCTGAGCACAATTTGATCAGAGGGACTATTGTGCGGGAATTAAATGGTAGCGGGTGTGCTGATAAGTAAGCCTGGTGGACCAGTCGAGCCTAAGTAATGGAGGAGACAGGGGCAGTAGGCAGTTATCACAAGCTCTTCCAGCTGATGCACGCCACTGGTCCACGAAAACCGGGTGAGACAATCATAAACAGCACGGGTGCAATGATACGCAATAAGGAGCAACGTTTGGCTCAATGAGTAGGAAACTTTCAAGATTATTTCAGTTGATCTCCTGTTCCTTTACCTCTTCCTACTCAGATGATGCAGGACGAGCCACGGACGGTTAGTTTAGAGGCGCCAAGGGAGCCTGAGGTACAAAACTCCATTACAGCCATCAACTGCTTTTCTGCTGCTGTCCCTTTCCTCCACCACCATTTAAGGATGGAGGTGAGGTCCTCTGCAAAGCACTGTCCTCCCTATTGGAACATAACTGGATGGACGAAATTATCCCAACTAACTGCAGTGAATCAATTATGGTGGAAAAATACAGGTGAGGCAGTCGCTAGACTATGCTAACTCGAGGGATATTAGCCTAACGCCAGTTGTAACAAAGTACTGGCCTCGATTATCGTGCTTCGTCCCACCGTGGAACTGGAATTTCGGATTAGGGGAGAGCAAGCAGGTTTTTGCTCACGCAGGTGCTAGAGCAGTCCAACGCGTACCGGAGATCGATAATAGCTGTGTTCCTCGACTTCAAGTGTGCATTTGATGCAGTTGCTCGGTGCATTCTGTTCGAAGCACCTGCTCGGGAAGGTATTCCCACGAAATATAATAACATCTTTGCCTGCTCCAAACTGGAACACTACGGGTCGCTTCAGTGTATACGCTGAACTGTCGGATAGCTTTCCGACAAGAAGTGGCGTTCGTCAGGCTTGTCGATTTCCCTACTTTTGTTTAATTTTATCGTGTGCTCCATCATGGTATGTTTCCTTACAAAATCTCACGATAAAGGCGTTTCGGTCCTGTCTGATGAAACCTTAGTTGATCTTGATTATGCGGACCATATCGTCTTGCTTTTCGACGATGTTGCGGCAACCTAATCAACCCTGAATAACATGTCTAGAGTTGTCCCATTATTTGGTGTTTGCTTCTCACGTTTAAATTGCGAAATGTTGCTGCAAGAGTACCAGCCACTTTGTGATACCTTGGCGGTCTGAAAGGTCGTTTTTACGAGGCCACAGTGAGGACCATCCTGCTCTATGGGAGTGAGACTTGGCTCCTTCGGTCTGAGAATCTGAGGCGACTTTAAGTCTCTGATCATCGTTGTCTGCGTAGCATTTCTGGTATCGGATGGCGCCAAGATGTCCTCAACAATTATTTGCGTACGCGAGTACTAGGCAGTGATAATCAAGTTAGTTTCTTAGAACAACAGACAGCACTGATTAAGTTCCGTTGGCTCGGGTACGTGCTACGTACACCTGGTCACTGCTTACCTAGGAGGACCTTGTTTAGTCTGCCAGATGTAGGATAGCGCAAAGCTCGAGGTGGACAGAAGTTGACTTGGCAGCGGGAAATGAAGTCACTGACGACCAAACTGGGTGCCGTTGGTACTTTCGCCTTCCGGGATGAAGTCAACGGGACTCGTCTTGTGCTTGGCTCGAGACTTTACAGGAGATGGCTTGCAACCGACACCAGTGGCGCGTCTGCTGCCGTCTCCTAGTCGGATTGCCTATATACACTGTGTTTGATGCTGAGTTATCTGCGAAGTAATGCTTGATTATGATGCGGGGCAGTGAAAGCCGCAAGGAAGTTGTCTCGCCGATGCCGTCCTATCTTTGCACGATAGCCAGCTGTTTGTGACGGTATGTTGTCAACATACGGTGTAGGCGCCTTGACCCTGAATGTTTGCTTAGGGTATTAAGGTTCTCCCTCTTATTATTATTTATTCCATAGGTCGTCATGGTTGTATGACGTCAAATCATTCGTTCAAATGGATGCTGTACTGCTGTTGTCGATTGCATTGGTGCAGTAAAACAAGATTGATAGTCAAACTTGTACCGCGCATATTAACAAAAGCGGCCGTTTCCGTGCCAGATAAAGTACTGTTTATTTCACTGTGCTGCTACTGCCTCACCCAAAGTCACTTTCAAAAGGCACCTGTTTGTCGATCACGATTAGACGATTCAGTCATTGAAATTGCCCATCGCTCATCACCACACATGGTAGTGAAACGTATGCGGCCGTTAAATCAAGTTTGACGAAACACTCGGCAGTTGGGCAACCAACTCGGACTACCAGTGTTTCATATGATTTAGATAACTGAACTTTATCCCAAGCTTCATCACTGTCCAGTGTTCCCTGTTAAATTGACGCGGAGTGTTGTAGTATTCACTTAGTATTCGGGTTGCTACGGGGAATTACGAGGTGATATACGGGGAACTTTAAGTAAGCAAAGCTTGTTTCATAGCTGAGACACCATGACAACCAGTTGACTCTAACGTTGTGCTTTATGGCGGCTTTACTTTCTCAGAAGCTGCAGGAAGATGAAATCGGGCTGCAGTGTTGTGAGCGAGCTTTAGTCAAAATCTGCTTTATGTCATTTGGTTCTCTCCTGTTTAGTTGTGTGCTGGCTGTGCAATTATGTTGTGCGTGTCATCGCGTACTTATCTTGTCAGTGGCTACCGATCTTCGTGAGAGTGCGAGGGCGCGTTGAGCCAACACATTCCTCCTTCATTAACTGGTTTCATTGTTTCTTTTATTCACATACAGGTCAATCATTTGCCTTGCTCCTTCCAATTAGGCCGTAAAGATCGATTGTGGCGAAATGTGTTCCATATGCAAAACCGTTGTGGACGAGAGAATTTCAGTTTTATGCCTGAGACATTTTGTCTACCCGGTGATCTGGAAGCGCTGAAAAAAGCGTGGGATGAAGATGGAGCTGACCAACGATGGATACTGAAGCCAGTGAGTCTTTGGCTGACGAAGATTATTTATCTCAGTTAGCTTTACCTACAAAGGTCACACTTTTGAATACGCCTATTGAATTTATGCTGCATTTACCTAAGAACACTCACACTGATCACGGTGGATGCGTAGTAACTTTTGATCTAATGGATACTTTTCCTTCAGAGGACAGGAAACCATATCTGGCCTGGTACTGTAGGAAAATCGTACTTTGTTTGAAATACTGCCCCTTATCCCTAACTTATAGCAACAATCGCATTTGCCATATTCTGGCACTTGCTTTTAAACTTTCCTGAAATTCTATCATGTTCAATGATTAAGGACACATTAGTTTGTTCCTCATGACTCTTTTAAGAGTTGAGTTACTAGTAGTTTGTAATCTAATTCTGGTCAAGCATTGGTCCATTGTCAATGAGTTAGAATAATAAGACTAATTTTAGCTAGCCTCCACCAACTACAGGAACTGATTCCAATAGCAAATGCACTCCAAATTCACCTATCACACGTAGTTGGAGAAGAGTGACCTTTGGGATATATTGATAACCCTTGGAAAAGCGCAGCTAATAGGGCTGTTTATAGCACTGAACCGAGTGTATAGAAATGGACTAGGTTATCTGGTTTAGTAACAGCCATCATGTTTCCTGTTCTGTTTAGCCAGCATCAGCCCGCGGGATTGGTGTTCGTCTCATCACAAAATGGGCGCAGGTACCAAAGAAGCGTCAGGCTATTGTACAGAGGTAAATGAATAGCTTGGATTCACCCTATATTCGCCTGATTTCCTCCTTCCTCCTAGCGTTGCCAAGAACTTAATAACTGTGCCAATATTTGCGTAGTTTATAATTTTGTATCACAGAAAATTCGTAAATGCGGCTCTGTGCCCAGAAGTCGGACTTTGGACCAAACATTTGAGAGTACATTTGATGTCAATATCTAATGTCTACCTCCTGGTAATTAGACAACGATAAAGCGCCAACCGATCAAGGGTGCCACATTACTACTTGGTCATACTGAGCTAATTGCTGATAGAGGATTTCAGCAAAGTTCCCTGATGTGTCCGCTTTGATATTTCGCCAGCTTCTAACAAGTTCCCTAATTCCGGTAAGGTTGAGACTGCACTGAGATGTGACCCACAGTCTAACCCGCAGTAGGAACATGTATTCTGTGTCACCTCTTTGATTTTTCTCCGCTATGACGTCTTTGTCTCTATTTCAGGTACCTCGGACGACCTTTTTTAATAAACGACAGCAAATTTGATCTCCGAATCTACGTATACATATCATCCATTAATCCTCTACGTGTTTACATCCATGAGGAAGGCTTGGTTCGATTTGCATCGCAAAAGTAGGTAAAAGTACTTGTATTTAGTGTTTAGCAAATCTATTAGTACATATTTCCTTTAGGTTTCGCTTGATGGACCATTTAACTCTGTTACAATCAAGTTTCATAGCGGGACTTCCTAATACACCGTTTAGCCCAAATTCACCATAGATGCTATATTAGGTGCCTTAGTGTGACTCGAAGAATTCCACACGGTATTCCATTCTCTCTGGTACTTTCAATCGCCAGCGGTTCTTAGCTAACTAGTCTCTACTTATACTCCATCAACAATTTATGTCGGAAAGACGTGCACCGGAAACCTTTATTGCCATATTCCCCTTAGCTTCAATATAGCTAAGCGCATCACGCATATCAGACCTCACCCAACAATTTCTTGCTATCTAAAGCCATGTGACGTAGAACAGTACAACCGAACACGCAGGAGCCCAAGACAGCGATATATCGACGCAACTTGTTTTGAAGTTAGACAGTTAACTCGTCACCTTTGGGGCAAACGCCAACCATGACTAAACGTGTTGAAGTTTATCACTTTACATTTGCGTTCCGAGTTAGCTAACCGTTCCTTAACCTAATTGAAATTTCACCGTGATAGTTACCTGCAGTTTGCTTGTAAATCATGACTGCACCCCACCCCATTGATCAGTGGCATAAGCTGATAGTTGGCGGTTTAAGCCGATAGTGGTCACGTGTTCGGATCCTGAATGCTCGCTGGATGCGCAGTACAGAAGAAACCCAGCAATCTAAATCTTTACTGGGAATATGGAGAACTATATGCTGTAGTATCTGTTGCGATGAAATTTTAATTACTTACATTAAGTAATCCCGTACTCATGCCTTCCTTTATTTGTTCCTTTATCTTTTGAACGGCCACATTAAGGCACACGATAGCCAGTCGCATTTCTCTATACATTTAGCTTTAGAAAATCTGGCAGGTACAGTATTGTCTGAACTGTACCACCTTGGTGCTTCTGTTGCCCCTTTGATATCATTGCAGGTACAGTAACTCTCTTCGGTGTCTCGGGAACCGTTTTGTCCATTTGACCAATTACTCCATCAATAGGCTCAATTCCGAGTACGTGAGCAATTCCAACGATCAGTTAGCCAAAGGTCATAAGTGGTAAGCCAAATCTGAAAATTTTGCATTATAATGCCCATACCTTTCCGACAATGTTCCCCTTGGACGTTTGATAATACACGCTCGAATATGCCTGTCACTTACGCAGATTCACTATCCAGATCATGGATATCAACCATTTTACTATGCACCATCAGCGATCAAAATTGCTGGGCGTCCTACGTTTAATGGAGGCGCATGTTTTCAGGTTCCGCCTAGCGCATGTCACTCATGGGTCCACCTCGAGTGAGGAATTTCTGCGTTTGCCCACCCGAGCACTGCGCGTTTGCCGATTCAAAAAGTATCCCTTTCTGAAAAGGACCCTCCCATGAGTGGAGTTACGCAGCCAACAAAGGTCTAACAACCTGGCTAACAGGGTATCACAATGCGCTGCTGGGATATAAATGAATCATGGGATAAGTCTTGGAGTCGGTACCTGGTAGGGATCAGAGGAAGGCGCATCACTGACGAGATGCAGAAGGTACAAGCAGCGCAGTCTGGTGCTTTCCCAGACATACCAAAGCCTTCTGACTAAGAGTGAACTGTCATGGATTACCTCCTAATTATACCAAAATCCTCACTACTCATTAGTAATCGGAACTCATTCCGTATAGCTTCTAGGAGCTGTGTCGTACACGGTCACTATGCGTAAAGTCCTAGCTCGTGGAGCTAACTGCTGTCCTCCGCACAGTTCGTAACTAGCATGGCAGTGGAAGATGAATTGGGATATATCATAGTAACTTTCAACCATGCGAGTCCGCGGCCGTCACCCATGGCTTAGTGGCACAAGTTGCTGGCATCCGGAAGTCATGGTTTCGGAACCCATCAAAAGCCCGAGGCAGTCGCACCACCTACGAAATCCAGAAGGTGGAAGCAACGCTGTCTAGTGCCTTTCCAGACATGGGAAAACCTACTGACTGAGAGTGACTGATAATTGCCTATTAATTATACCAAAATCCCCACTACCCATTAGTAGTTTAAGTAATTACTCATGCTCATCATCAGCATCCCCACTATTACCCATTTGCTGAAGTTGTGAAGCACACTCCAACTATGGTGCCGCAATACCTAAGAATAAGATGTACGAAAAAGCAAGATACCGAACATTGTAGAATACAAAAACAAGCAATCCACTACTTAGTACCATGTTATGCGTCAGGTGAGAGATTGTGGTGGGTGGGGAGAGATACGCGTGAAGAGGAGGGACAAGGAAACAGGACGCAAACGCCAATGAAGTCAGCTCGTTGCCATGTCAACTAGTGTATCCAACCGAACGAGCTCATCGTCCTTCGGACCCCAGCCCGGCAGTCGGGAACCACGAATCGACGCCAAGTTCGAACTGAAGGATTTCATTCTTCTTGACCACATCCTCGCTTAAATACCCCTCCTCTTCCATCCACACGCCTGGGCACTCAAACAAAGCATGATGCGCGATTCGGTGTGCTGGCATGCCCAACACGTGAACCAGTCATCGGATCCTTTTGCATGATATAAAGGTTCTGAGAGTTTCACCCACTCTTCCTGCACCAAATACACGACGCTGAACACGCTCATTGATCACGCAGTGTTCCCACTATTTAGACTCAGATACAGCCTGCTCCAAGAACTACATGTAGAACAAATTGTTTGCGTGTATCCGTTTTCTTTTGCGGTGTATGTGGGTTCCTATCGTAGGTCCTCTGGATGAGCTACAGGGAAGCCATTGTCTGCTATGCGATCAGCACTGTGTTTGCCGTAAAAGCAATCAACCGCCTGCTCCATAGCGTCTCATTTTGGAAAGTAGCATGTAGCCTAGAAGCGGCCCGTCGGCTAGAGATAACGAGCTTGTCTCGTAATCTTGCGGCACGGGTTCGAGCCTGCGTAGGGTCAGGGCGACCTTCACAGTATCATTAGCCCGCATGCGACCGGTGCTGGTTGCGCGAGAGCGAAGCGTCGGTACTGCGTACTGGCGTACTGCTGATGCCTTTCTTCTTCTATTCTACTCTGGTTGCCCCCACTCTAAGTGCCCAACTTTTGGAGCAACTTGGGCTCCACTGTACAATACTGCTCAAAGGGATTTTTTCAGTCGTTCAGAAAGTGATGAAATTGTAGGTGATGAAATTACAGACCTCTGATCTGTTCTAAGTCGATGTCCGGAAACACACTTTGCTTTAGATCGCGTCGGTTTGCAGTCAAATGATTAATATCAACAAATTTAGTCAGTAATCGAAGCTGTTGCTGGGTCGCAATTCAAAAGTTTACAGAGAAGTAGGATTCCGACTGATTTAACTAGACGGTCACTGCACATCTAGTGGAATACACTATATCGCAAAGTTCGACCCATATGAGCTTATGAACAGCAAGTGTAGCAATAGGGATTTGATCTTCAGACGAACCACAAAGTTCTAAAATGGTCATTACTCAGTATGCTCATTGATCACGTTTTCTTTCGAACCATCCGACGCCGTCAAGGGAACAGGGACAATTCGTGTGGACACATGTGCATCATCTTTTTATTGTCGATAAAAACATGAGCAACTGTTTACGTTTACGGTTGATGTTGACACTTTTGTGAGCAATCCCCGGTCATTTGTCATAAAGAGCGGCTAACAGTGACGCTCAGTGGCTCCAATGAATTATTGGACATCTTATTCATTGGTAATATTTGACAATATGTTGATATTCCACAGTAGTAGTAGTAGTAATCTCAGCAGTCTATCAACTAGACAAAGAGCCAACATACAACCATGGAGATCAGCGGATAAGCAAGAGTCATCGCGTCATAATCATCGTGGCATGTTAGTTGAAGGTGAGCAACACACTTCAGCTAATATGCCGCAGGAAGAATGGAGCATTTTGAGAAAAAGTAGAACAAAACATTTTTAGTTTGTTATTCACACGCTGATTTTGCTCTTTTTGGTCATTTTCAATGTTTGTAGTGTTAAACATGTGAATCAATACAATACTGTACACAATTATTCCACTGATTCCGGTTGCGGGCCATGTCTTCAAGAGTGCTAAGCCATTGGCACTCCTCATCTTTGGGTCCCCATCCTGGAAGACGTACGGATCCAACAGCGGCTAGACACGACGTCAGCGATTTCATGTGCTGCCGCCAAGTGGAAGGCTGACCACCACGCGGTCGCCTCCAGCCAGGTCCTTGAGGAGCGAATAGAGCGCGACGCGGTAGACGCTCAGGTGCCATACGTAGGACGTGACCGAGCCATCTTAACTGGCGCAACAAAACCAGTTTGTTGAAGGGAATACTCGCATTCCCCAAGATGCGACGTCGAACATCATTACTATTAACTAGATGTTGCCACCAAACACGAGCGATCACCCTTAAGCAACCGTTATCGAACGCAGAAAGACGACGCATGTCTTCCACGCGAATCGGCCAGGACTCGCACCCATACAGTAATACTGAGCGAACTGATGGGCTGTAAACGCGGCCCTTTAGTGAGAATGTGACGTCGTGACGACGCCACAAGTGTCTCAGGTTGACAAATGCTGACCGCGCTTTAGCGATACGAAGAGAAACTTCTTTGTTGATAGTGCCGTTAGCAGAAACACAGCTCCCAAGGTAGACGAAACTATCTACCGGTTCAAGTTGTGCACTTTTGAGAGTGAGCACGTGAGCAGGTGAAAGCCAATCTTTGAGCAGTACTTTACACTTCGATGGAGCGAAGCTCATGCCATACTTAGATGCTTCAACCGCCAAACGATCCAGAATGAGTTGCATACCCTGAGGATCGTCACCAAGTAAGGCGATATCATCAGCATAATCTAAGTCGGTCGCGCGCTCATCCGGTAGAAGCTCTAGGCCAAAAGGTTGGAAACCTTCTAGGGCATTCGACAGGACATCTTCGATTGCGAAGTTGAAGAGGAATGGGGACATAGGGCAGCCCTGTCGCACACCGCTATTGACAGCGAATTGCGACGAAACCTTGCCATAGACCTTCACTCTGCCGGATGTATGAAGGTAAAGTGCTCATAAGATGGCGGTATATTTCTCTGGCACCCCGTTCTTTAGTAAGCAACGCCATAAAGCAGGTCGATCAACGGAGTCAAAAGCGATACGTATGTCTAGAAATGCAACGATAGTGGGCCTGTGATAAATGTGGCGATGTTTGAGGAGCTGGCGGAGCGTGAAAATTTGATCCACGCATCCGCGGCCAGGACGGAAACCAGCTTGTTCTTCACTGTAGTATGATTCACTTATTGGGGATAGTCTGCGAAGCAGTATGGTTACCAATTGCTTAGAGGTAACCGAAATAAGACTAATCCCGCGATTATTTGCACATGAAGTGCGAGCGTCTTTCTTGAAAATCGGGACAATAACTGATTCACCCTAAGAGGAAGGCACTTTCTCTTCATGCCATATTTTTGCGAACAGCGCGGTCAGCTGGTAAATGATCGCCACACCGCCGTACTTGAATAGTTCAGGAGGAAGTCTATCTAAGCCGGCAGCTTTGAAGCGCTTCAAGCGTCGATTCTCGTGGCAGACTTTCGCTTCGCTGGCTGGATTCAGTGGGACGAGCCAGGGTGGACAACAAGGTGTACTGCATGTACTGATGGATGGTGGAGGCCAGTTGAACTGCGAGTGAAAGTGCCCGGCCCAGCGGTCCATGTGCCTCTGTTGGTTGGTGATCGTGGTGATCGGAGACTCATCCACCTCACGAATGACCTCACTGACGCCAGGCTTCCTGAGGCCAGTGGACCGAATGAGTTGGAAAAGCCTGCGAGTGTTGCCAGAGAGGGCAGCGGTCTCCATCTCTAAAGCACGCTCAGACCACCATATCTCGCGATCCTTGCGTAGAATTTGCTTCAGCAGCCGGTTGGCAGAACGGCGCGGCTCGTTGCAATCTGATTCCGCCGGGATATCTTTGCGGCGTTCGAACAGCTTCAGAGAACGAGCAGAGATCCAAGCCTTCAAGGGGCGTCAAGTTAGGCCGCAGCATGACTGTCCGGAAATGGTCATTGCCTTCCGTATACAAGTCCAGTGTTGTTCCACTTCTTGCGGT